GATTTAACAGGAAGCCAATGAAGAGAAGCCAGGATAGGAGAGATATGATCTCTCTTTTTCATTTTCATCAGAACTCCTTTTAGGATTAGTTCTGTAGGTTCGGACGTTAGGGCCTGATCTGCAAAGATTCCCAGGGAGGAGCTCTAAGTTGGGTGTCACAGGTGAGTTGGAGTGATTTTGGTTCAGAGATGTGAAAACATGTCCGGTTCTGATCCGTTTCAATGAATAAACTGAGCTGGAAAGAAGATAAAGTTCTGCATGATGTAGAAAATAATGTTTATTATTAAAATGATGGAATATAGTGTATTTCACAGAATCATAAGTATGTGTAAGAATCTCAAAGTATTACAAACTGAACTGAATACATAATGATGAAATAAAGAAACTCAGATTTGAATGATTCATTTTAAATCATAAAACACCAACAACCTAAAAACTAAGAGGAAACAGACACAGCTCAAAGTGTGAGGTGTGCCCCCTGGGGGGCAGCAGAGTAACTACAGCAGGGCTAGATAGAATGAACTGAATAAATGAACCATTTTCAGAGATTATCGTTTGACTATTAATAGAAAAGGAATTCAGTTACACGCTAAAATAACTAGTTTCTTTACAGGGAAGCTTTGTTACTTAAAAGATATTTTATTCTATAGCATCATATTAATTAGCTCAGTTGTTTAATCTGGAGTGTTTCCAGTCTCAGACATAATGAAATCTCTCTCAGAGGAAAGACTTTCTATGCCTCCGCCCGGCGAAGGGCCGCTCTGCGGATCTCTCTCAGCAGAACCTCCCTGTTGTTCTTCACATTGGTTTTGGCCGTGTTCAACAAAAAGTCAACCTTCTCCTGGCTGAAGGGACGCTGGAAAGTGGAGAACTCCTTCATCCTGGCTTGGTATTCTTCTGCATCTGTAGAAAAAGTAAAGGTCACTTACATTCACTTTGACCTTTGACACCTCACCGTTCTAAGGTGACTCGTTAAGGTCTTGAGCTGTTAAAGACCAGCTGGAGCATTTAAACCTCCCTGCCAGGGATGAGAATGAATGACAGTCCTCCAGGGACAGTGTCCTGCAGCTTCAAGGGTCCATCAGACCCAAATCAAACCATGGACTGATGTCCTCAGTCTGCAGCTCTTCCAGAGTCCTGGTCACCGTCCAATCATTAGATTGAGGTGTGTTGGAGAAGGGACACATTTAAGGTCTGCAGTTGGTCATCTCTGCAGCTGTGGACGTTTATCAGATAAACCATCATGTAGTCGTGCACAGCTCTGAGTAGTGCAGCTTGTCCTTGCATTCAGTCACTCAGAGTCTCTACCAGACTTCCATCTGCAGGATCCCAGTTACCTAGGTTACCTAGGTAACACCTAAGTCACTGGGATCCCGGGGGAATCATCGGCTGATTTCCCAGTATTCTGGAAGCAGCTCTTCAATCAGTGAGAAATGGCAGCGCCTCGCAGACTGACAGACGTCAGGAGTTCTTTCATTAACTGATTTGTTATAAATGTCTTATTACTGTCAGTGTAGAAATCGAGCAAAGCGTGTTACATGCCAGCCATGAAGGAAAAGTCGCTCATAT